GGAGGTCTACAGTTAAGTAGTTCCGGAATATTTCATCTTCCCCCTGTGTGCGGTGGAACGCCTAGACAGTCTACCTTTGAAATGACTTGTTTATGTGTAGCTGGGCCAAAAACTCAACCCAAACCCCCCCCCCAAAAAAAAACAAACAACAACAACAAAAAAAACAACAACCAAAACGACAAACAAATGAATGAAGTACATGTGGGGGTGGGTGGCCGGCGAGCGTTCTGGGGGGTGATGTGCTCCTTCTTTCCTATCAAACATCAATAATCCTTATTTCTCCTCCTTCTGTTCTTTGTATGATACTCTCTAGTAACACCTCTAATCTTCGGCACTTATATGACATACATGTATTTGTTTTGTAAGTGCTGTAAAACTCTATCTAAACTAAAGATGTAGGATGGCGCTCATATGACCTTATGCAGTTGCCAGCGCCGTAAAACCTCTAATAAAACAAAAAACCAAGCTGTGGGACAACTGTAGTATTATGTAGTTACCTGGCACGGAGGTGTCCGGGGCAGAAGCGGGCGAGAAGTACATCCGGCGGCCGAGGAGAATGTTGCTGCTGAGAGACATGACGTCAGTGCGGCCCTTCTGGCGGGGATCGTGACGTAGGAAGAAGATATGACGTCACGATGACAGTGTGTGATGTAGAATTCAGGTAGATACGACGTCTCTAGCATGTACTGTGACGTAGAGGACATGATATTTCACAACGGTGGTCTTGCTCCATGTTGGTTAGTCCACGTTAGCACAACACTCAACACTCACGCACAGTCAACAACAAAATAATGTTTATCCAACTGGAGAGAAAAAAAAAATCCAGTTTCAGAAAGCACATTCAATAGTCACCAGCACCGTTAATACAGATCTATATGGAAGTAAGAAACATTTGTGAGTTTAGGAGACACTAAATCGTCCATCAGTTTTACTTTTACTAAAGTCTGGCACGCACTATGAGACAACCTTACACAACATTTGTCTTTAGTTCCTAATTAATAGTTGTATTGATCATTTAAAGACAGCTTTAAAGCATAGCATTGCCTGTGTTGTAATCAAAACCGGTTTAGCAGACTTTACCTGAGACTGGAATGTTAAATGAAACCACAACCATATCAAACACTTATAGAGCCGGGAAGAAACAGGTTCTCGTAATCTTTTTAGTTCTGACTCATCACTTCGTGTACCGTATTGAAGTCGTTTCCTACATTGAATCCGTTTCCCTTACTGAAGTCATCTCCCCTTTTAACCTAGTCATCATTTCTTTAGAGAAAAAACTATAAATAATATTATTTCGCCTCTGAGATTTAAAAAAACAACTTAACTAATCAAAGTAATCCCCACACCGAGCTCAAGTTGACTAATCTTCAGATTTAAGCTACCACACGGGTCATCGTTGTCCGAGTAAAGGTGACCGTTGTTCCTGTTAGTTTTGACCTATCGTGTGACATCACCGGCCGTCAGAGGTGACAGGTACAGCGGGGAAGACGCGGGGAGAGACGATCCTCGCCCAGATAACATTCTGTAGCTGTGGTCAAGGGACTGGGCTGATCACTAATGAGGGACAGCTTGTCAGGTAATGTTGGGGTGGGTGTGTCACAGGAGGACAGCATTTATGGTTCGTTAACCCCCCCCC